GCTTCGTAACCCAGACGCCAGGGACCTTGGCGTCACCAGAAAAGGTCAGAAACGAAATTTTTTTTGGAACGAGGTCAAATCGGGATTTAGTTTGCCTTAAGGGTCAGAACAGTAATTTTGTCCGCCCACCCCAGCCCACCCCACCCGTTTTCTATTCTACTATTCCGCTCCATTCCGGATGGAAGTCCATGATATCATCATATCATCGCTCCATACCATACGTGCATGATTCGTCCGTCGGCCCATCCTCCGGCCGGGTTACAGGGGTGCCGGGTTACGATCGCCGCCCCCGCCGCCCATGCCGTTCAAGTCCCGATTCCCGATCGCCGCTCAGAAGCTTCCGGCCTGACACGTCCAGTGCTCACCTAGCCACACTTACGCACGTAGCGGATCGAACTGAAACCCGTTGCGTGGTGTGATGGACGGGACAGGGACGGGGACGGCAGACAACCCGTTAGACATGCCATGTGCCCCACGGAATACAATATCTGCCCCGAGACCCGGAAAACCGCGTACGCATCCACCCATCCGAATTAGCTAGCTAGGATAATCAACCAATCAGTCAGTCCAGCTCCCGATTGTTTTGTTTTGTTTAGGTATGTAGCTAAACAACTGGGAGATACAATACTCCATCAGCATCTATCAAGCTAGTGTACAGCCAGGCCGATCGGCACAGCCAGCCGGCGGCGACGCACATCGGCACATGGCCTGCCGCGCCGTGTAGCCCGTGGACCGAGGGATCCCGGACGGTCGTGCGCCCGGGCCCGCGCTGTCGCCGGCCGACCCGGCACGCTGCGCCCCGGCCACCCCGACACCCCAGCCTAGCCACACCACACCACACCCAGCCCCCGCCGCGTGCTGCGCTCGATCGTTGCACCTACGTGTGCGTCCGCCCCGCGTATGTCATTATCAGCCCATGCGCTGGCTGTGTGCCAACTTACTCGCGACGCCCTTCCTTCGCGGGAGTCCCCGCCTATAAAACATGGGCGCCAACCCTACCATTGCCAAGCCAACACAAGCAAACACACATCGTCTTCTCCTCTCAGCGAGACAGAGCTATCAGATCTCGTCTTTCACATCGCATCCAAACGTACTTGCAAAGTTCTTCCCTAGCGCAAGCACTGCCCGGCATCTTCCCACGTCCACTGGAAATGGAAGCTACCGACAGCCTCCTCATGGCCACCGAGCTCAGGCTGGGCCTCCCCGGCACCGACGACAAGCCACACAAGATCACCTCGGCGATGTCGCCGCCGGCGACTCCCAGGGGCAAGAAGCGCACCCTGGACGCCTTCGAGTCCACCGCCTCCGATGAGGCCGACAGGTCCGACGACACCGCGACCGCACCCCCCGTGGCCAAGTGAGTACCAGCCCAACCCCTTCAGCCTCCCGGCTCGCTACCTTATTCTTCTTCCTGCAACTCCAAGGCCAGGGTTCTTACATGCATGCTTGTCTCAACTCTCGCAGGGCACAAGTTGTCGGGTGGCCGCCGGTGAGGCGCTGCTTCCAGGCAGCGGCGAGCAAGAGCAAGGCGAAGAAAGCGGACGAGGCCAGCAGCAACAACACGCCGTCCGCGGCGGTGCCGACGAGCACCAACGGCTCCTTCGTCAAAGTGAGCATGGACGGAGCGCCCTACCTCAGGAAGGTCGACATGAGGATGTACAAGGGCTACCGGGAGCTCAGGGAGGCCCTGGAGGCCATGTTCGTCTGCTTCTCCGGGGCAGACGGCGGCGCCTCCAACGGCGGGGGCGCAAACCCGGCCGAGTACGCCATCACCTACGAGGACAAGGACGGCGACCTCATGCTTGTCGGAGACGTGCCCTTCGAGTAAGTCTTGATTCATTTCATCACTTCTTCATCTTCGACATATATTAGGTGACTGTGAACTGAAGATCATTTTGTGAAGCAGTGACTTATGATCTTTATTCCTACGTTTTGCAGTATGTTCAGCGGCACATGCAAGAAGTTGAGGATCATCAAGAGATCCGAAGCCACAGGCCTGGGATCCAAATAATGAAGACTTGAGAAGCAAGATGATATCATGGGCTCTCTCTTTTTTTTTCTTTTTACGGTTTATACTTTTTGTTCTTCGATCTGGGTTCGATCACCAAGCCAAAAGGGACGAGCTTGGTGCATCAGAGAGCACACATGGATGTGTGCCCTTTGTTTGGGTCCTTGAAGTAGGCCTTCTTAGAAGCACAAAGGAGATGTGGAGATTTGGGTTAAACTCTCCATGTGTTTGTACAAACGAAACAGTTATATTGATTGTTGATTACTTATCATCATGCATGTTTTTGCTGGGGGGCTTTCCTTCCGGTTTCCCCTTGGCTTGGCTGTGCTTTTGTATTCAAGTTGTCAAGTCACTTTATCATCAACACTATTATGTTGTTTGTGAGCACCACTTGTTTATGTGCGGTGGATAGTGATATCTATGACGATCGAGCATTTTAACGACGTCCGGATGTGATTTCTGAGTATACCGCACAACCAAAATTGGATGGATCTTCCACTTGTTTAGCTAAGACTGCAAGCACAAACAAATGTGGTTCCTTTTGTATCACCGCAACATTTTAGGGCATCTTTGAATTAAACAAATTTCAAAGATATTATGCACGATTTCAATCTGCTTACAGAAATTGATAGACATGATATGATGAGAAAGCCTTTTGGATGTTACCTACAAACTGATATGTAGGATTAGAAACCCGACAGATGCTACTTATGAGTCACTTCCCATCCGATACCAAATCTAAATTCCCATTGGAGATTTCATATGCTATGTGGAAGAAGAAAAACACCATGGTGTGCCAATTCATGTATGGTTTTCAATCCTATGAGATTGAAGAAAGCCTAATATCACATTCCTGCCTTTTAGTAGAATCTTGCGATCTGCGGAGGCTCTCTTTGGATCTTAGACCTAATGACACTACAAAAGGAAGGACTACTAGTTCCATTCGAATCTTTAGCCCATGTTCCCAGAGACGTTGACTTGAAACGGAACCATGTGCCGCTGATGAGATTAAAATTGGAGCACGGGCTCATTCACGGCCGATTAATCGATCCAAAATGTCAAATCTAGATAGCAAGCTCAGTCAAACGAGAGAGGGAGAGAGAGACACAAGACTGGTCAAGCGAGTAACACACACAGCCCATGCAAACCGGCCTGCATTTTGCTGTCAACACATGCGCCGGTCGATCCGTGGGCGGACAGCGCGCATGTGGTGCACATGAGCGCTGGATCCAAGCGTCCACGCCACCGGCATCCATCAATAAATCGAGTGAGGTCTTCAATCTTCTTTTCGTTCTTTTTTTTGCCAGAGGAAAGAGTAAGCTCTTTATCCCACTTCTCAAGAGAAAATTACATAAACTGACTGCAAGCATCTTTTAGACTAGTCACAATGCGAAGTAACTTAGACTAGTAACATCACATTTTACTAGGCTATGTTACTATCTCCATAGTGGATAGTAACATATATGTGTTGTCATGTTATAGTTCATTTATTAGCCTATAGACTCATATTGTCTTGATACGTGTCATGTCACAGTAACTAGCTAAGTTACCACCATCACCTCTCTCATCATTAAATATGTGCCACATAAACAAAATTATCTTGAAAAGTATGATGTTACTAGTGATGTTATTTCCACTGTGGCCAGCCTTATAGAAGCACAA